CGGTGAACCCGCCGTGAAACCTTACTGGATCGTTTCCATTTGCCGAGCCGCGCATCGCGCGCCATCATTGCACGTTAATGCACTGTATACTTTTTCTCGAACGCCAATTACGCTCACGGGCGTAACCGCGGGAGAATCCTTTCCCTCTCCCTCTCAGTAGCCCGCAAAGAAAAATAGAATTACGGCGGATGCGGAAAACCCCCGCTGGAAACGCCCGTACGGCCGGCGATTTTATCGGAGCGTTTGCTCCGCTCATACCGGATGCAGTCGGTGCGTTTAACGAAATTCGATGCAACCCGTATATATGATCGACGAGAAAACGTGGAAAATTCGATCTGAAATGTAGCGATGTGAAACTATGGCGAGATCGCTCGTCGATTCGCCCTATAATTAACGGCAGATCGCGAACATATTAGTCTACTCGTTACGGATCGGCTATCGCATCCTTTGGATTATACGGGTTGGAAATGCCGTTTCAACGACAACGACGATAGTCCGTTTTATCATTCTCCTTTTCGCGAGAAAAGCGACGCGCAATTTGTCGTTTCGACTAATCTGTCATCTACGCGAACGTACAGAGTGAGATTTCGCGCCAGAGACAGACTCTATTTGCGAAACGACTCCGCACGTGTTGGCGAAAAAAAAAAGATGAAGAAACGACACGCGCCAGCACGTTTCAATTTATTACTTAATTCTGCGCTGCGAAATGAATTTCTCTTTGCGACGCGTTGTCGAAATCCATGGCGGAACGCCATACATGGAAAAAAGTAATATAGTTTGCCCACACATGAATCTGGTTGTACCTCAATCAGATTCAATAGTATGAGATATGGGACTAATTATTAAATATGGACGAAATAAAATACGCGACAACTAATTATATGGTTACTCCAATCAGAGTATAAAAGAACTAAAAATAGAATTTGGTTGACGAAATAAAAATTTAGTTGAAATGAGATCAATCAAATATTTGGTAATTACAACTAAAAAATTTAATTATCGCTATTTTGTTTTACTTTCTCAGTAATATATTTACTTACAAGGGAACACTGCGAACCCGAACTCTTTGATTTTGATACACTTTTGTGAGTATGTAGAGTAAATCAATACATGAATAACGATATATTCCATTTGTGTCCTATCGCTATATTTAAAGATATAATTTACACTCTCAAAGTAAAAAGGACAATTCCAATTTTTCATGTATTACTCTTAAATTAAAGGAGATAGAAAAAACTTTTCGAATAAAAGTTTAATGGTAAGTTAAGTAAATAGAAGCTGTATGATTAGCTATAAATTGACATAAGCATAAATAAAAAGTACTTTTTTTATTGTAAACAAATCTTTTATAAATATTTTCTTATTTATGCTTATATCAATATTTACAGCACTTAACTCACCATTAAACTTTATTCGAACTATTTTTTTCTATCTCCTTTAATTTAAGAGTACACGAAAAAGTGAAATCGTCCTTTTTACTTTAAGAATAAAACTTTAAGAGTGTAAATCATACCTTTAAACAGCGATAAGGCACAAATGGAATATACCGTTATTCATGTATTGATTTACTCTACATACTCACAAAAGTATATCAAAATCAAAGAGTTCGGGTTCGCGGTGTTCCCTTGTTAATCATTAGGCGCAGCAAAATGACAATTAAATTTATTGATTGCAGTTACTAAATATTTGGTTAATACCATTTTAACGAAATTTTGGTTTCAATAACCATTCTTTTTTCGGTATAAATGTCACCACACCGATTTCTGGTTGTTACACCTAGATCCACTACATTGTTATAGCTAATGTACCAAGATAACTGAATCATATCAACTCTACACATTATTATTACACAAAGATAATTAGGATAATGCAACTATACTCTCAATCAAATGTTTCTGTGCACTATATCTTTTTCCCGTGCTCGCATTCGCATAATCGACTTAAAGGCCCGTCTACATAGGCCGCAACACGCAAAACGCAGTTTGCAATCGCGCGCACATCCAACTTCAACTTTCTACGTTTTCCCTGTGTTTGCAGGGAAAACGCAGAAAGTTGGAGTTGGATGTGTGCGCGATTGCGAACTGCGTTTTACGTGTTGCGGTCTATGTAGACGGGCCTTAATGTCTCTTCGCGTAGCGCGTCTGTTATTTTTGCGCGGACGAGAACGAGTCCCGAGTTTTAGCGATTCCATAATTCTATAAAACAAATGGCCGATTGGAAAACAACGAAATACGCATTTTTGTTATGCATATGTATACGCATGCATGCATACGGAATCGCAATTACCGCGGCGGCGAATGTGTTAGCAGATATCGAGGACCGCGGCTGTGTACGATTGGAATAACAATCTACGCGCGGCCGGACATTAATCGTGAATCTGAAGCGACATCCGACTCGGTGGACGATGAGTAAAACAGGCGAGTACAATGACGTCAAAAATTGATACACAAATCGTCAAATAACACATTAATTGTTTTCATCATCTCTGCGCCGACATACACTCGGACTCTTCGCACGTGTGTTTTATATTTTCTTCCCCTTTATTTCGTTTATTTGCTCGAGCGGAGTTCAAAATTCGGAAAATCAACAAAGCTTTGCACTCGCGCAGTGTGAAAAATGTGAAATATCTCACATTTTTTCACAGGCGCGATCTCGCGGAGTCCGACATTTTTTGTAATTGCGATATCAATGCTTTCAGCGGAGTAATTAAAATTTCGCGAAACATCGCGCGCTCCTTATCCGCCAGCACTTGCGCCAGCAAGTTAATGTTAATTGTTTCGCAAATTAGCCCGTCCGTTTAATAATGAACGAGAGACTCTCGGGAATGAAATTCTCGCTTGACGCGGGAAGGTTGTCGGGCATGGACGCTTCTACATTGAGAGCCGCGTCTTTGTACGTACACAAATATTGTGATTCTCGGGGCTAACTCGAATTGAGTAAGCCGCGGTGCAATGAACTGCAAAACACCGAGGGCAATACCTACGATCGATTCGCGGTCGACGTTAATGTTTCTATGCACCGCTAGCTGGGAAGGATGCGGTCGGAAGGGGAAGAGAGAGAGAGAGAGGAAAGAGGAAGAGAGAGATAGAGAGAAAGGGGGATTCTTTGTACTTAATGGCCCGTGCAGTTATTCCACGTACTTGAACGCGTTCTTAGATCATTCGCGGGAGGATAGGGGCGGCGGAGGGTGGAAAATAAACCCCGCGCGCAACATCGTTCGTTCCTTTACACGTCTCTCAAGTCGCCGCGAGATACAGGATCTCTCCTCGCCGCTCGTTTCAGACGGTTCAAGCCGGTCATTCATCGGCCGCACAGACCTGCTCCTTTTACGTGCTCGCGATCGTTTCAGCGCAACGTGCCACTAACTAATCTAGAATATTTCACCGCCGTAATGACTGAAGTGCTCCCCCGGGGGACGGCAAGAGGTTCGCGGCAACTTGACGGGCCCGAGCGTGTGGGATTCCACCGTTCCCCTATTTATCACTTTTTATTCGCGCCGCGACGACGATATTTGTACCGTTGTAAAACGGCGCGTAAGTCCGCAAAAACGCGCACGGGAGCTCGGGCAACTTTGACGACCCATTCATCAACCTGTCGCTAGAGAGCGAGAGAGAGAGAGGGGGAGAGAGAGGGAGAGAAAGAGAGAGAGAGGTCCGCTTCTGCCGCTTTTGTTAATGAAGTAGCTCGAGCACGCAAGTGCTCAGCTGTAATAGAGAGCCAGGGAACTTGAATCCACGGATAAATTCCGAAGTATTCCGATTAATAATCACCGTGCACGCGCGCACGACTCAGACCTGCGCTGCTATCCGCCGCTCATAACTAAACACGTCAATCTGCCGCTGATGTTTTTCACTCCGCTCGGTCAATTCAAACGTGCGCTGCGGTATAAATAACGAAAAAAAAAAGAAAAAATAGCCTTTGAGTATTCAAGACCGCGTTTATCCGAAAATATCGTTCCCTTTTATAGGTCGATGATTGTTTTTCGACAGATACGAGAGCAATCCATACGAGAATACAGGTAGATACGATCTCTCGGAAGTGAAATATTATTTATTTTTATTAGTGTCATAAATAAACTATACGACCAGAGGTATGCGTGGTGTGGACGGTGTATTATTCCCGCGGTGAATGACAACGAATCACGTGGAAATTTGAACGAGCCACGGGGATCAATACGCGGGCGTTATTTGAAAAGCTAATATTTATCTTCGGGAATAAACGGAGTTCGGAGACCGTCGGGACCGTCGCGCAGCTTATCAGATTTGCAAAATCGTGGTCGGTTTGTTGTCCGTCTTCGTCGCGACTTATTTACCGGCGGCTTACCCCGGCCTCGCTCTCCTACGATAAATATATCAAATTTCCTGAAGAAAGCCACTTCAGCTCGCAATTCAGAAGTTATCGGAGAAACAGATGAACGAAATAAAACTTCCCGAGTGACACTTAATTTCTCTTCCTCGGCAGCGAGGAAAAATGAGATCTCGCCCGGCGACTGCAACGTATTCACCTCCGCTTCTTACTTTACGCAAAAATACGACGTCCGCGAGCACGGTGCTAACGGCCGCCTTCCTTTCCTCCCTCTTTCTCTGTTTTTTCTTTTTTTCTTTTTTTTTTTTGCTCCTCTTTTCGCGAACTCATATTTTAATTATTGCTACGTTAGTCGGCGGAACGCAAAATGCGAGAGGCGTAACTGCCTTCACCGGTTGCGACAAAACTGCGTAATTTCAGGACCGGCCTGTGGGCTTGTCGAGCGAGAGCGCTACAACATTATGTAAATTAAAATGAAGGATTGCAACGTTAATAACGCGTTTTCCTATTTCCCTCCGTCCCACCCTACTCCTCCTCTTCCTCCTCTTCCTCTTTCTCTTCCTCCTCGTCGTCCTCCTCCTCTTCCTCCTCCTCTTCTATCTCTTTTCACAGCAAAATGTCCGCTATATAATAACGCGCACCATCAGTCTCCCACGTTGTACTACCTAAACGCATTAAATTTGTTAAACTTGCAGTGTCGTTTTACGGGGCGAGCTACATCCATCTTCCGGTTCAAGAGGCCAAGGGTGCTACTGACATCAGTTTCCGGTTCCGAACTCATCTCGCCGACGCCATGCTGCTATTGGCCGCTGGCAAGACGGATTACTGCCTGATCAAACTCGAAACCGGCAGATTGAAGGTTCGTTTGCCCCCGGCGCTTACTTCTATTAATAGGCTTTCTGTTTGGTGTCGGTCGCCCCGCTGTTAACGGGCCGCACGTGCTACGATACGCCTGTCTGTCAGAATTCTCCTCTCCTCGCCCCCTTTTCTCTCTGGTGTCCTTGCGGGAGAAATTAGACGCGCCGTGACAGCGGTAAAAAAAGAGAGCTCCTCTCGCGTGCGCTAAAATATTCCCCCTCGAGCGCACGCGTGCGAGGGAAATGCAGGATTCGTCGCGTGCGCAGATGTAACGCTCGTGTCCGTGGCTCTTATTACTGCGGGCTTCTTATTTCCCGACGAAAAAGGATGGCGCGGCTCCAACGCCGACCACGACAGCTATTGCATCCAGGAAAAGATTTTAATTGTCAGAGCTTGGTTGATTTTTTCAGCGTCGTATCGATTTTTAATCCGCGATGCGGAGGAGGCCGGGACTAGTTGGCCCAAAGATCATGTCAGCTATGTTTATTCTGTTTATGCTTCGTTTATGTGCTGTATTTATATGCTATGTTTACTTACAGAGAGCAATGGGAAAACGAAACCGCAAAATCCTTTCAGAACATAGGTACTTTTTGCCTGAATCTTATTAAAACCGAAATTATATTACAGTTGAAAAGTAGAAGAACTTGACTCAGGAGCTGCCTAGTATATTCTCGACTTTCTAGAAACTCAAATTTCGCATTAATATTCACCATCGTGAGTGAATAATCTCAAGTAACGTGTTATTAATTAAAATGAAATCTCCTGCAAGTGTATGATACACTGTTTTGAGTAATAAGAGCAATTTTCATCCGTAAAATATTTCGAAATCGAGCATGAAGTATGTACGAATGAGATGGAGTTGGCTCATATTTAAGAGTCGTCAGGAGGTCGTGGAGAGACTGTGAAGTTTTCTCATGGAGAAAATTCCAGAGAGTCCGGAATTATATACTAATTGAAATATACATTTTATACCTGGCGTTTTTACTCCCTGAATTGCACTAAGCAATTTGACTCAGTACCGTGGCAAAATCGTCACTAGAAATACAGTTTTGATTCCCCAATCAGAGGCTATTCGACAATTACGTCACGCGAAATTTGAATATTTCTTATTTCCCCCTCTTCTTCGTCGCATCTTGTTACAAAGTTTAGGTCTGCCATATCATATAGCATGTAGTAATTATACTCTCCCCTTCACATAGACTAAAAAAAATAGCTTATAAGGTAAACGTCTCAGGAGTCGACATACATGTCCCAATGATTGACATATTGGTTTTGTATTTTTCTTTGTTGAAATGCTTTTCAATATATAAAACAATATAATAAATGAAAAGAAATATTTAGTTACTTTGTGATTTTATTTCATTGATAAGCATCTTAACAAACACAAGTATATTATTAGTAATTCAATTATCGGTACACGTTCAATCACTAGGACGTTTACCTTAATCATATTGTGAGTAATAATTATTAGACTGCGCGCTATTATCATTTCTTAAAACACAAATACTTTTTTGACATAATATAAAATTTGTTTTTTTATTTTAATTTCAATTAGTAAAAGTTGCGTTTTCGAGAAAATAAATATTTTAGAATTAAGATTTTGTTTATTAACACAAAATTAAATTATTTTTATGGAATATAATATTTTTAGATATATATAAAAATTTATAAATATAGAATAACGTGTAACGCTCCGTGATCTTTAAACCCCTATTCCCCTCCTTCCTGTTAGTCACGCAAGCTGATAGACCCACTCCCTCTCCCTCGTGATGTGACAATTGTTGAATGGACTCTTATCTGGTTTGTATAAAGTGATATTATCGGATCCTAATAAGTCACGCAATGTAGCGTGACAATCAGAACCTTAATAAGGATTATTAACAATTAGAACTTTATTAGTAATTATGATCCGTGCGATTACATATTGTTTTATACAAACTGATTGGGATCAATCTGATCCATCAGGAGATAAATTTCTGATCGGAATGGTTACGTTGCAGCGTGTTAATATCTCGGTTATTACAAAACGAATTGTGTACGGTTTACAAGATCGCGTTGCGGACATAAAAACGTAGAGAAAGAAAAAAGTCAATCACAACAATTAGTTGTCTGAAAAAAATTGCACTAAAAAAAAATGTTTTGCTGGTTCATGTAGAATTCTGAATGTTACAGTTAAAATTTATCGTTTTGTTTTGTATCTGCTAAAATTGTTTGTGGCACATAAAAGCAGTATTCTAGCAAGTAAATTTAGGTAGATATAAGGGTTGCACATTTGTTTGTTTCTCGTTGCCAAATTACTTTGTCTACCACAGTCAATTTTGATAAGAAGCGTGACTCGCTTTAATTCAGATGGAACGCCACAGAGAGATACTCTTGCTAAATTTTACAAATGGTTTAGACAGAAATGCTATCCCTCTGTTGTCATCTATATCAATTAAATATAAAATAGATGCGGCATCGCAGTATTTGCTAGTTATGTGTTTTTTGCTAATTTCTGATATTTAGGTAATTTTCGCTATGTGTGATTACAAAATCACTCTTGCGTGTGTGACTTCGAAATTCTGGAAAATGTGGCATCTTACCTCGATCTTTTACGCGACTTTCTTATTCCGAGCTGTTAGTCAACTTAACCGAGACAAGATGACCGCACTACAATATGTTTGCATTTCAGTTATATTAAACAAGATACATCTCTTTCGCGTCCACTCGTCTTCATTCAATCGACGTTATTTACGAGCTCACGTCTAAACTTAGCACGTCTACACTTGAAATATCAGCGCTAGATCGATGACACCCGAACACTACCGCACTTCGCCCGCGAAAAGTGTCGACGATGATATTTTTATGCTAATGTCGATATCGAGTGTCATGCGCTTCAGCTTGATACTGTAAAAATCTTACGTACGGAGGACCGTTTGCGCAGGAAGGACCCGATATAAATTGATTGGTTTGCCACGAGCGAGATACAGCCAAACCAGCCGCCAAATTCAATCGTGCAGGTGGATTTCGATATCGCGGGTTATCGCATTTCGGCTGATAGCAATTGCGTCTGCGATCGTGGCGGGTTCAGCTCTGCCGTCACTGTACAATCGCATCCAACTAATCGACCGACGAATCGTCGACGTCGACGACGACGACGACGATGGCAACGATGGCGAATAGCTGCGCTGCTAATTCGCGCGCGTTTTTCTTTTTCGCTGCCGCATCGTCATGAATCGAAGATCTCACGGTGAGTTCGCGAACCGACGGGACAGCCGTTGTTATTTCATGAAATGACCGACTACGTACCCTCCACTTTTCCTCCGTCGCCGTAATGGCTCGACGCGTTGACATCGATGACGGGGGGTCGCTTTACAACGCGCCGAGCGAGAACAAAATCGCGTAATGTCTTTTCCATCGATGTTTCGCGAAATGAAATTGCGGCGTTACCGCGCGATGGCGGAGCCGGCTCTTTTTTCTTCCTCTTTTTTCCTACACACACGTCTACACACACGATTTTATTGCACGTCGATACGGCGCAATGTTTCGGCTGTGAGGCTGAAACGTCGCCGCGTCGTGACGTGCGTTCGTTTTTGCACATCGGGAGTTTCACGCGATCGGTCAAAACTGTCCAACACGATGAAGTCACTCGGTCGGATTTTACGCAATAATGAGCGTTGTGTCCCGATAAAAAAATATATATATAGATAGGACCTCTCTCTCTCTCTCTGGCAATTCGAAACACAACCGTGGTGTGCAGGTAAAACTCGTTAAATTGAATGAAAATGTCCATTTTGCAAATAACCAGATATATTTTTGAGCTATTAATTAAAATATATTGGTGAAAATTTGCGAGCAATCATTCACCAATGTTCTTTAATCAAATATCTGTGAGAATGTGAGTATTTGCAAAATGATAAACAATTTTTTTGTTTAATTAGACCTAATATATATTGAGAAAAAAATGGCTGATCCAACTAAAATTATGGTTTTTTTTTCTTTTGATATAAAATTGGTGATAGTAACATGCGCATATTAGACACTTATTACTAACATTATAATATTAGTAGAATTTAACAAAAAATAGTTTCTGCTAAGCCCAAACAACTTTCAACTTTTATATTTACATGTCCAGTTAGCTTATAAGTACTGTTATTTTCAAATAATACTGCAAATTTTATATTAAATATCAATAAAAGTAACATTTCTGATAATGCGTTAGTTTCTTAAAATCTTAAAGTTCTCTATAATATTATGAAAAAAAAAAACAATTATGGTGCTGTTTAAAAAATTCAAGATGATTTTTTTTATAAAAATTTTTCCTATTTTTTTGTTGTAAGTGGGAGCTTGCATGAAACAGGTAAATGTTCACCTTACAACCTTTTCTTTAAACTGTCGAAAGCGTCACAAAAATCGTGTGAACCGTTACGATGAACATCCTGTATATCAAGTTGTATGACGTATGTATATGTATATATATAGACATACACACGTACATACAATTATAGAATTTTTTTCTCTTTTTGCTGCCGGTAAAATATTGCGCAAAAGTTGCCTGCAAAATGTGGTGTAGCGGGATTCACTCCGATGGCCTCGTTTCCCTACGTGTGCGACTGTCACGCGAAATAATTCTTAACGGGATAATCGTTCGTTGAAAGCGAATGCCGCGCTGATTTACGCGCGGTAATTAAACGTATCGTGTACACGGTGCATGCGAAATGAACGTGAAAGATTCACTCTCGCGCTCAGTAGCCAGTGCGCGTAGCAGCGTTCGTGTCCGCGAAACGAAACGGAAAGGGATTTATTATTTCTCATACTTCGTACGCGCGTCGCGAAGGGCCATACATTTTCGGCATTGCCGAGATAGAGAGAGAGGGAAAGAGAGAGAGAGAGAGAGAGTCGCGCAGACTGATTGCGAATCGCGGAAAACACGTCGGACACGTATCGCATTACGACGAAATTCCATTTCATATGTCCCGCTTGTGCGGAACGTCAAAAATTGGAATTCAGATTGAATACATA